AAACACATTGACCCGACCTTGCGACGAAACTCTGCAACGCTTTAATGTTTCATTGTTTTCATCTTCCACATTTTTTTCACCGATTTGATTTCATAGAACGCTTTTTTTCCATCGTTTTCTTCAATGAGTCAAACGGGGAAAAGAAGAGTGAGATCAGCGAAGCGCATCTGCTAATGATTGTCTGAAGACAGTTCCCGCGACCAAGTGATAAACGAAATGCCTCCGTGCATTTGGTATCGTTGTCCGCATTCGCAGAGAATATACCACTTTCGTCATTCGAAACGGTGAGATAACGAAGCAAGATGCGCTTGATTATTGCAAACATTGCAACCACGGTTACTTTCACTCTGCAAGACAGCAACCTACAAACGGATTCGCGTGTGTACGTAGCGCTGCCTGGAGCGTCGTAAGGTGATTTCCTATGCTCTTGCCGGGAATTGGTTGCTAGTAGAATCATGCTGATCGGGCTTCCGACGTCCGACAAACGGCCCCATTTCTGAGGAGTCCCTCTTCGTAGTGTTCCCAAGGCTTCTTTTCACTTCTTCTCCACTGGGAGTTATCCATGGGCTACTCATGATTGAGCACCTACTACCCTAACACTTGATCGCGAGAATTGTCTTCGAGTCAGTCCTCGAGCTCAGCAAGTCTTTTCTTGTGCAAGTAGTCTGGCCCTCAGGCTCTACGGTTCTTCCTTTTTCACGGCTTTACAGTGAGTAAAAAAAGGCGCTGCAGCCCTGATAAAAATCGAACGCCTCGATATTGCTCCGCCCGAGACTCAAGGGCTCTATTATATCACGACTTTAGCTTTGCATAGTAATTTCGGTTTTTTTTATTTTTGGAAAGTATTCGCTTTGCTGGCATGACACGAGCAGTCCGGACAACTTCTACACTGGGGCTGCCAGGGGTTCCTATGCGGGGTGTTGTCCATGGTTCTTTTCGCTTTCATTTCCCTGAAGAGTCAATCAGCAATTGACTGAGCAATTGAGTCATTCAGCAATTATTATTGGCCAATAAGTAATGGCCCTTTTTTCAATTGGGAAACTTGTTCCAAAAGTGAACTGTTTTGCAAGCAAGCTTAATATCGTTTAATAGCAAACTTCTCGTAATATTAGAATATCAAAACAGCTTCAGTTGAGGGAAGGGTTTTTGTGGATTTTTTTAGTTGTTGAAGTTGAAAGCGAAGTCGGCGAAAATTCGCACCTTCGACAACTGCCTCTATTTACGTCTACTCGAAGTGCTAAAATCGCTTGAGCTGCTCCATACATTTAGAAACGAGCTTTATGTTTCAACAAGGGAATCTCACTAGGACGCTTTGGAACGAATTTCAAGAATTTTGAAGTTACGTCTGCTTCACCTGAAATTTCATGCTAATATTTGAATGTTTCGCTGATATGTTTTGCATGTTCTGATAGCAAATTTCGTGCTCTATAACACTGCAGTGAAAATCTGTTCTCCAGAGCTGTTTACTTTCTGCTAATTTCAGGTTATCACTACGAGACGTGAGGTCGTGAGATAGAGGCAGTTGTCGAAGGAGCTAGTGGGCTGGCTAATAAGTAATGGCCGTTTTTTTTCAATTGAAAATTCATTCCAAAAGTAAAACGTTTTGCAAGCAAACTTAATATCGTTAAATAGCAAACTTCTCGTAGTATTAGAATATCAAATTCAAATTCAATTCATTCAAATATTAGCATGAAATTTCAAGTAAACGTAAATAGAGGCAGTTGTCGAAGGTGCGAGTTTTCGCCGACTTCGCTTTCAACTTCAACGACTAAAAAATCCACAAAAACTCTTCCCTCAACCGAAGCTCTTTTGTTTTTCTAATACTACGAGAATGCTATTAAACGATATTAAGCTTGCTTGCAAAACACTTCACTTTTGGAACAAGTTTTTCAATTGAAAAAAACGGCCGTTACTTATCGGCCAACCTAATATAAATTCGTTATTAAATGCAACTACTCACGAAACGCAATCGCGGGGTTTGTCTTTACCATTGAACAGTCGGCACCAGCGCATTTCTGCATTAACGAACAAATTCCAAGGCCTGTTCCGAGGGGAAAGACTTCACTTACTGGCAGGGCACGCCATTGCGTTGTGATCATTTCCTGTAAAATACGACCCCGCCTAATTCCATCTTCAAGTACGACCCCCCTCCCCACCTTACCTCTTCCCTAGATTTTTCCAACCTCCTACCACTTTGTCTATTTTTTCCCAAAAAGCTCCTGGTTTTTTTACAACCCGGACACGGATCAAAAAGTGGATGATCAAAGGGGAAGATTATACTGGAACAGACCACGTTTTACAAAATAAGATAAACTACGGCCGGTGATAAGAGCCAAACCCTATGCTCTACTCACATCCCCCCGGCAGACGGTCCAGACGCTACCCACCTTCTCCGATAGCTTCACCTTTCAAACGAAGTTATGAGTCGTTCACATTCGAGTGGGTACTTTTTCACGTGTTTGGCTTGAAATGTGCCTCCAAACCGGTAAAATATGCGCGCGAGACACAATCGCGCTGTATGAGCGCGCCTGCGACGCGCGACACCAAAATTCAAAGTCAATCCCATAGTTCCGAGTTCCTCAGCTGAGCGTGAGTTTTTTTCTTATCATTTTATTGTAGGAATTACTC